TTAGATTATCTCATTCTCCAAGGACACCAAATAAATAAGACGTCCCTGTCCCTTAGGTCTCTGCACTCATTCCGATGTCACATCTGTTTGCTTTCCATTAGCCACAGCATCCCCACATGACACAAGCTCAGTGTTTACCTCCTATGTGGTTTTTTAGCCAAATTTTCAAATCACTGCACAGTTCCTGAGGAAACTCAAAATAGTATTTGTGATGAGAAACTGCAGTGGTTGTTTATTGTTTAAAAAGTCTAATACTGGGCCGGGCGCGGTGGCTCACGCCTGTAATCCTAGCTCTCCGGGAGGCCGAGGCGGGTGGATTGTTTGAGCTCAAGAGTTCGAGACCAGCCTGAGCAAGAGCGAGACCCCGTCTCTACTAAAAATAGAAAGAAATTAATCGGACAACTAAAAATATATAGAAAAGATTAGCCAGGCACGGTGGTGCATGCCTGTAGTCCCAGCTACTCGGGAGGCTGAGGCAGGAGGATAGCTTGAGCCCAGGAGTTTGAGGTTGCTGTGAGCTAGGATGACGCCACGGCACTCACTCTAGCCAGGGCAACAGAGTGAGACTCTGTCAAAAAAAAAAAAAAAAAAAAAAAAAAGTCTAATACTGTAACTTGTCTTTCTTAAGTGCTTTGGAAAAAGCCTGTAATGTTCTTTCTAAATCCTCCGGCAGCTAATTCAGCACTCTGCTCACTGCAGACACTCAATAAATATTTCATGGTGAACTCCAATGGCTGTTAGGATCATCCTAAATTCTAAAGTAACTTGAGATTTCCTCACTTACCCAGACACCAGCTTTTGCAGAACTGGCGATTTAGAGCAGGTGATCAAAAATCTCTCTGAACCACTGCTTCTGCTTGTGAATGGGTGTGTCTGCAATCACGGAGCAAAGCAAAGTGGAACAGAAAGGAAAATGATGATAATGACAGTGCTTCAGATAAGCTCCTTCCTAGAAACGGGAAAAACAAGGAGGCAGGCAGGAACATTTGTATGAAGTACCGCAGTGTGGGGGATCCGTCAGCAGCCAGAGTGCTGCATGTTGACACACGCCATCCGTGTCTGCTCATGTAATGATTAATTGACAGATGGGAAACAGGCCAATCTCAGAAAAACCTAACATGTGAGCCAGCTGGAAGGTGGTCTTTGGCACTAGGTATATTCCAGAGTTCGTCAGAGGGTCCGTAACCAAGCTGAGCAGAGGTTAGTTTACAGCTGAGAGATCTGGCTGGCCGCGCAGTTGAGGCGATAGGACAAAGGACACAGGGCCTCTTTCCTGGGGGCTGAAATGCAGTGGGTGACAAGGGCAGATCTGGGGGGCCCAGGTCAGCCAGGGAAGAGAGCAGATTGCATGTGAATGAGAAGCCCAGGGAGCCCCCACTCCAAGGATCGGGGCCTGCATTGTGGGGGCAGGCCCCTGGGGAGGAGCCCCCTGCAGGCCAGATTTCCTTGCCAAGGCGGCCATTACCCTCCACACCATGGACTCAGGGACCAGCTGAGAGTAGCATTCCTGAGGCCAACAGGTGCGTGTGGGGGCCACACCATCCCCCAGGCATCCCTGCCAGAGCACAGGGGGTTGGACCTGGACACAGCTTATGGAAGGGCGCCAGGCCTCTCAGGGAGGAATCAAGAGGCGGGGTTTAAGCCCCAATATAATAGTGTCCTGTGTAGGCGCAGAGAGCAGGCATAACCCAAAGTCACAGACAAATCCAGCTGTGCTTGAACTATGTGGCCCTCTGATTCCTGCGGAAGGATCATGAGAGAGACCCTTGGAAACATCCTGCTCCCCACACAAAGCCCCCAGGTCAGTGAAGGCACTTTAGTAGTAGAGTTTTAAAACAATTCACTTGCTACAGAGCCAATAAATGCTTCTTAGTATTGGATCTGTGCTGTTGTCTTTAAATATGTGCCCATGTGAACTCAACGCTACAGTCCAAAATTGCAGGGCTGCTGGTCTAGAAATAAGGAAAAGACAAATAATAAGCTGCAGAGAAAACTAAATTAGACCTCATGTGGATCATATCCCAACAATCTGTGCAGCGTGTGGGGCTGTATTGAGACGCATCCCTCTGCTCCCACCCCAAGCCTTAAAGACAAAATAGTGGCTGAGACTCACATGCTGCAGAAGTCATCCCAAAGGACAGACAATTCCCGTTCAACAGTGGGTCAAGCAAGCCTGGCGAAATAATTCATGTTCAAGTGCTGATAAAACAAAACTGTAACTAGACTGGTGGAAATAATAGCAAATGCCTGTATAGCACTTACCATGTGCCAGGCTCTGTTCTAAATCCTTTACATATATTAACTCATTTAATCCCTACAGCAACCTTACAGGACAGGCATGGTCCCCACAAGGTATTGACATTTATGAGTACAGGAGATATTTACTAGTGGGATTGGTGTGAATAGGGTCTAGGAGAGAAGACCAAAGAGAAGACGGAAGATGAAAGATAGAAATGATCATGCAATTGTGTCTGCACTGAGCTCAATATAACTTTATTTCTTAAGAATACAGAAAAATAAACCAAAAAAGTCAACTTTATTTGCTAAAGCTGGCAGCCAGTGTCTGGGTGTTAGTTCCCCAGTTTGATTTTTTTTTTTTTTTTTGAGACAAAGTCTTACTGTGTTGCCCAGGCTAGAGTGTCGTGGTGTCAGCCTAGCTCACAGCAACCTCAAACTCCTGGGCTCAAGCAATCCTTCTGCCTCAGCCTCCCAAGTAGCTGGGCCTACAGGCATGTGCCACCATGCCCGGCTAATTTTTTTTTTCTATATATATATTTTTAGTTGTCCAGATAATTTCTTTCTATTTTTAGTAGAGACGGGGTCTCACTCTTGCTCAGGCTGGTTTCGAACCCCTGAGCTCAAACAATCCGCCCGCCTCGGCCTCCCAGAGAGCTAGGATTACAGGCGTGAGCCACCACGCCTGGCCCCAATCATTCTTGCCCTGAGCTTTATCTGGACTTCCTCTAAAGTGTTTGTGCTGGGCTGAGGGGTCAGTTCCTCTGTGAACCCGCCCTCCCTCCACCTCAGACAGGTAGCTGTGAAGTTAGCTCTATGCAGGAACCTGTCCTCAGCTGCGCTGAGGGGTCAGAAGATCATGACTCAGTGAGGATAAAGTAACAGGTGATCATTCTTAAAAATACATTCTATACGAATATCCCTGGTTATAAGGAAGAGAAAATTAGGATTAGGTGAGGGATTATAAAATATGCTGAGATTTAATCATTCAATAATTGTTCCAAACTATTAAACATGACAATTGCATAATGATATAGTTGGCCACTGGTGTGCATTACTGTGGTGACATAAACTTGGTGAACACTGTGTCTTCATTAGTTAATCATGAGGTCAGTCCCCAGAGGGAGCTCACTGGCATCTTCCCAAGCTTGGGGTGGACGTTGGTGCCTAGAGAGTGTCTAAATGACAAAAGTCATGTCCAAGACCACAGAGAGGGCTCAGGGTAGAGTGAGCTGAGAGCATTCAGGGGTCAATTGTCCATGTTATACGTCTGTCATTCCCAGGTGGCTTGCAGCATCTCCCCTTGCGAGGGGCAGGGAGACAAATTTCACCCACTGGAGACAAATGGCCCAGATGGAGATAAGCTGGGAACCTGGGCCCTGAAGAGCCACCAGGCCCTGGAGCTTCAAGTGAGGAGAGTCCACCTGGCTCAGAGGATTGAAGATGTGGAGTGGGAGCTGTCCCTGCTCCTTCAGGTGGCCAACAGCAGTTCGAGCATAGGAGGGAGCTGGCCCAGCCAACACAGCGGCCTAAGGGGCACTGAGTCACATCAGATGCTGCATGGAGGCCACCTCCAGGAGGTGCCTTCTCACCAGGAACATGAACGGGTTCCCCTGGTAGGAAGGAGTGGGCATCGGGGGCCCGGAGTGTGTGCTGGTTTTATGACATGCTCCTACGGGGAAACACCTGGATTTCTTTCAGAGCCCGGACCTCAGCTTGTGCTAAATTCGGCCTTTAACTCTCTGGGGTGAGGGAAAATAAACTGACATGGGTTGGCAAAATCAATGTGTGCTCCTCTCAGAGTTTGTGCCTCAGTTTTCTCACTCAGCTGCGGGCCCTTGCTTCCCGCAGAAACTTCAGTCGGGGCACCTGGCTTGCGGGGTGAGAAGTGCTTGGGGTGGGGGCCCTGAGAACATAGGTGCAGCCATAGCACATCCATGCCCCATCTTCCATCACATCGCACAGCTGAGTCTCCAAGGCCCCCACGTGGCTTGTGGGGAGTCCAAGCAGCCATGCCCCCTCCTGGCTCCAGCCAACCTGCTGGACACAGAGGGAGGTCTGTCTGTGGCCTGGGCACAGCAGCGGCTCAGCAGCCTCCCATTTGGCCACTCTAGCAGCAGAGACATTGGGGACTTCATGCTACAGGAGGGGCCAAGCCTGCTGGACAGTTAGGCAGCCGGGGTGGCACACAGGTGGGGACTGGCTGCTCAACCTGATGGCAGCTGAGTTCCCAGCGCTGGTGCCCACCGGGCTAGCGACCCGGAGTGAGGAGGAGCAGGTGCGGACTGTGAGCTCAGTCAGCTGGTAACCCATAGGCCCAGGGGGTGCCACTCTCGGCAACCCTGAGGCAGCCCTGGGGTGAGCTCTGCCATCCTACGTAGGGGCCCGAGTTGCAACCACACGTGCACGACACGCGGGCAGCGGGGACAGAGCAGCCCCGAGCCTGCGTGCTCTGGAGTGTGTCACTCAGGGGACGGTTTCTCTGCTGACATTTGTGTGCATGCGCCATGACGTCGTTCTGATGCGCGCACGCGCACTTGCTTTAACGGCTCTGGCAGTTCTGGTCTTGCTTGGCTGTGCTTGGCGCTGCCTGGCGATTTACTCCTGTCAGAAATTGGAAACCGGAATTTCCCTTGTTGGAGGTCGTGGTCAGATCGGGTTGTCTTCGTTGCACTGGGCTCCCGAGGCGGGGAATAAACAAGCGGTTGGGGTGGGGTGGGAGGTGGGGGTGAGCTGAGGTTCCTCCGAAGCCGGCAGCTGCCACCATGAAGAACATCTTCTGTTTCGGGGGAGACAAGGGCCGGCCGCCCTCCGGCCCCTGCGGCAGCCATGGCAAGACCGGGGTGGGCCCGGAAGGAGAGGCTGGTGACAGCGCCTTCCTACAGCCATGGTACCACAGCCGGAAAAGAGATCTGGACAAAATTCACCAAGCTGCCTGCGCTGGTGACGTGGCGAAAGTGGAGCAGATCCTGTCGCTGAAGAGAAAGGTCTTGGATGGCAGAGACAGAAAGAAGAGGTAATGGGAATGGCCATCGCGGGCCTGGGTGCCGGCGGGTGTTGGGGAAGCGCCCTTCCCAGACTGGCGGGAGCCGGGACTCGTGTCAGCGAGGGCGCCCGGCTGTCCTCCCTGCAGGCTCCGCAGCACCTGGGACGTGGAAACCGTGGAGGGGTCCAGCGCCAAGGCCATCTGTATGGGCAGCAACACACAAACAAAACTTCAGCTGGTTCCCCGTCCACTCAGGATTCCCCTTCTAGGACGCTTTCTTGGCAATTTTAGCTATTTCACTGACACAAGTATATACGGTATTTTATTTTTAATGTACACATTTTAAATCACTATGTTATATACCTTATAGAAAGGTACATAATACGAGGAATAATTCACATACTCTATCAAATTCTGTGGGAAAACATCTTAGCAAGAAGTTCAATATCCATTTTATGTCAATGTACACCTGTGTAAATGTGTCCTTTATTCAGGGATAAGTTCAGGGAACTTAGAAGGAAACTTGGAAGTGGGTAGATGCTACCATAGTCTTCAATAGGGAGACTCGTTTTTCTGAAAATGTGAGCTCTTTCTATACTTATCAATTTTACATGGCTAAATAAAAGTAATAAGGGTTCCAAATTTTTGAGTTACTTATGGTGTCTCTTTTTAACTATTGTGATGACATGAAGAAAAATTTTGTGATGGAGTGAATAAGACTTGCTCTTCTAGATATCGAAATGTGCTATTAATTTCTTCAAATTAATCATTTATTAACAGTTGAAGAGACAGATAAATGAATGGAACAGACTAGAAAATCTAGAAACACCGAAATATATGAAAGAATTTAGAACTTGATGATGGTGACAAATCAAACAAGAAAAAAACTGACCTCTAATTTAAAATTGGGCAAAGTACTTTTCTTGCCGATCTACAAGTGACCTACGCACATAGCAAAAAATATTAAGTGCCCCTGCTAAGAGAAAGATTTTAAGTTAAAAGAGGAATGAGATACTGTTAATCTATCCACAGAGTTTGTAAGAATGAAGATATTAAATACTAATATTAAACACTGAAAATACTTATACTGGTGCTTACAGTTTA